AGTTTGAAGTAGAAACTTGATGACATTACATAATGCCATTTGTAACTATCAGTATGAAACAGATTCTATCAGATATTGTAAAACATCTGTACAATTTATGCATTTACATATTTTGTTCCTTAAGTCAATAGCTTTTAATTGACTGTTAACATAACAATGATAGGAACTAAGTTTCAAACAGAAAATTTAATGAAAATATAATCTCTAAGTAAGAAAATCTTCTCCTACTCATTAGAATAAAATATGAAGAATCAATATCTAAACTATAAACTGTATTGCTCCAAAATGTGTGTATGTGTATTTTAGTATTGCATCTTCACAAATGATCATTTTTTGGTTTACATACACATGCACGCAGACACTCATGTGCACACACGCACACACACACACACCAGAGAGTGTTATACACCAGTTTAAGTATGAGAATTGATATCAAAGTCATCTAACTTACAAAGAATTAATAAAAGTTTCAAAATACTTGATTTTCTGCCATCAAGCTGCTAAATGGTGTTAAAACAATTATGCAAAACACCCTGCTATGTAAAAGCTGTAATACCCCTTTATCTCATTATGATTTAAATGTTAAATGCTCCATTATAGAGGTAAATTGGGTTTAAAATGGGATATTTCAAGCAGAGGAGCGAAAAATGTAAGGTTAAGCACAGTGAGGAGCTAGAGCTTCAATTTGTGGTATAAAGCTTGCTAGGGCATGGATGGATCTTTTGATATACTTAGAATGGCAGACCCTCTGACATGCCCTATACTGAGTAAATACAGTGATCTGGAACAAAAATTATGTGAAACAGCTGTTAAGTGACAGAATAAATGTGCATTGGACCACCAGCCTGTCATAAATATTGCACTCTTAATCAGAAAGCATCTGTCTTTTCATTTCCTTTCACCAATCTCTGCACTGTATTTAATCGGAGCAGAATGCCTCTCCTAACAGGTGCAACAATGTTTACAAATTGAAAACTTTATTTAAATGAAGCTTGTAACTGGAGATGTTTCAGTTTACAGGGCAATAATTTATGAGAAGGAATCATTCTACATTTGGTAAAACCACAGATTGCTTTGCATTGGTGAGATTTAATTATTAGAAAATTGAAGTATAGATGAGAAATCAAAAAAAATAAAAGGCTAAAGATAAAAAGTTAAAGATAAAAGGTATTGCAAGCAGTCTTATGCAATATTTTAGCATCTGGAAAAACCATTGGAAAAGTTACTCGTGGGAATATGAATAGCATGAAATATTTGGCATGGATATTTTAAAATGTCATGTTTGATCAAAACATAATATTTAGAATGATAGAGTCTCGTATATCCACAAAAATTCTATCTGTGGCTCTAGTTTGTTTTTCTATAGTTATTTTTTTCCCTATTATCGTTATTTACTTGTTGAAATTGAATGCAATGAATCCATAATCAATCTTTGTGGATTAAAAAATACAGGAATCCTAAAGTTTGTACAATAATCACACAAATAAATTTTCAATAGATAATTTATTCATAATCATGAATATAATGATGAAATTAACTCATTTAAACACACATACTGCTTTTAAAGTGAAAAAGACTATTGGAATTACCCATTTCCGCACTTTTATTAAAATGGGTTCAGAAATAATGCCTGGCACTACGAGGCACCAGGCAGGTAATATAGGTGATGTGGTCTAGTGAAACCATGGTTCTTTAAGTTGATCATTCATTTCCCAATGACTGAAACAGAGGTTGAAGAAATAGTCTTCTATACTGCACTCTAGTGCAGACAGCATGGCAGACCCTAAAAAGGATCATGGCTAGCTGGTACTATATAATGCAATATTTAATGTTTCCAGGGATAAAAAAGTATTCAATATTTCCAGAAATTCAATTTTTTAACAAAGCAGTAAAGGACAAACAAAATCTATATGGGACTGGATCTACTTTGGGGCTTCTATTTTGCAACCTTTAGTGTAATAGCTGAGAACATGGACTTACTGTCAAATAGATCTGAGGTCAACTTCTATCCTGACTTTTAGGGCCTCCCTGGTGGTGCAGCGGTTGGTGCTAGGTTGCGAAGCTGCCCGCAGCCTTGGCAGCGCCAGTTCGATCCCCGGCTGCTCCCTGGCCACCAGAGGAGGGTCCCACATGGCGCGCAGACCTCTCCTGCCGCCCGCTGCTCCCCTCAGCAGTGTACCTCGGTCCTTCTGCCTGCTCTGCTCCCCGCTCTGGCTCTGGTGAATTCTCTCACCCTCCCACACTTCTGACTGTACCCAGTGCTTGTATAAATAAATAAATAAATCTTTAAAAAATAAAAAAATAAAAATAAAATAAAAGGTCTATCTTCTATCTGTGACCTTGGATAAGCTACTTGATCTTAAGATTCATTTTATCCTCAGCAAAAAAGGTATTAATAATAGTAGCTAACCCATACGGATATTTATATATCAAATGAGATAAAAAGTATTAAATATATTTAGAACAAGTACTCAATAACAGCTAGATTATTATTTTTTATTTTCATTTTAACTAGATACAAATAAGTAATAGACTCAGAAGTCATGTAACTTGACCATGGATATGCCAAAAGTTCAAACTCAGGCCTCTTAATTCTCAATATATCACACAGTCTCTCTAAAGTTTTTTATATACACAAACACAGAATTTTTAAAGTGAAAGAGATTATGGAATTATTTATATTAAAACTTTTACTAAAATGAGTACATATATGTAACATATAAATATAACATAAGTTATATTTTAAAATGTAAACACATACTCATGAAAAGTTCTGATTTCCTTATCTACCCTATTAATTAAAAGGATAAATATTCTTTTGTGAATAAAGAAAATTTGTTCTTTATAAATATTTTACAAATATTTTTACCTGGATAAAATCTTCAATACTTGTAATTCCACTTAATTACTATATAGAGATATTTATCATAAGTTAATGCAGCAAGCAAATGTCATTGTTCTTAGGAGAATTCATCATACAAATCATTGTTTTTTAAGCATTCATATTTTGTATGAAAAGAATCCATTTTTTTTAAAAAAATCCAATTAAAGCAATATAAACACTGTTACTTGTTATAAAGCATAGGGGATTATTTTTTTAATTATTTTTTGTAAAAAAATAACAAAAATGGTTTTGATGATGGGTGTCAGATATTCTGGGTATAATCTGAAAAACTGATTAGTCCTTCAGATTAAATCGGTTGTAGTAGATGGACTTAGCCTTCAGAGTAATAATAATACCTTCACAGAAGTTTACTTGAACCTGCTTCCAAATCTTCCCATGGACAAGTCAGAGTAGCCTCAGAAGTTTGTTTTCTTTAACAAGGTCCTTCCTTTCATTGATTGTTCTTGTCTAAAAGGTTTAGAAATTCTCCTACTAATATGTTGAACTTAAAATCAGACAATAAATGAGATAACAGATATGATTGATGGGACCTTGTTACATGCTGATTTTAATTGTCTTTTATATGCAGTGTTTCACTTAATTCTTATCATGACTCTGTGAAATAGATTCTATAAGTATACCAAGGTTTATTTTCTGTGAAATAATTCTGAAAGAGGTTAAATGATTTGTCTAGTAAGTTATCAGAGTTAGGAGTGAAGTATAGTTCCATTCTAAAATCTATACCATACTGAAAGAGTTATTATTTAACTTGTCAACATAATAGGAGCAGAATGGACTGAGGTGGAATGTGATAAAGAGATATTTAAAAATATCAAGCAGAAAAATAAAAAAAAATGAGTTAATTTTGTCATACATTGATTTCATTGAAGTGTATATTGTGAACTTGCATGAAAGTAGATACTTTTGGGGCCTTCCTGGTGGTGCAAGGGGTTAAGACGCAGCACTATAAAGCTATCTGCAGTCACTGCAGCACGAGTTTGATTCCCAGCCAAGGAGGTGACTCACATGGCACAGCAGACCTCTCCTGTCTTGCCCACTGCTCTGTTCTCTCTTAGCCACTGTTCTGTTCCCTACTCTATCTTTGGTGAATCCCCTCCCCACACCCCCGCATCCCTGTCATATACCCCAGCTCTTGTAAGCACAAATAAATAAATCAATCTTTAAAAAAAAAAAAAGTAAAGATACCTTTAAGGACATACACCATTTTAAACAACAACAGTGTATGAAAATACAAATTTTAAAGAGATAAATCATGATTACTTTTTCATTACCCGAGAATTCATCTTAATAGGTTTCACAAAGTTTTTCTCTCCATGATTTCAAGTTCTTTCAGTATTTATTAGCTATTTATAGTGTTTATTAGCTATTTACCGAGAAACTAAAGGTGGGGGTGAGGGATGCATAGGAATTTAGAACTTGAAATCATGGAGGGAAAAACTTTGTGTAATTTGTAAAAGAAGGTAAAATATTCCAACAGGTTTAGATCTACAGAGAAATAGTTTCCGATAAATTACAAAACATAATTGTAATCTGCTGACTGATGTACAACAGATGGAAGTACACATACTTAATTAAGGTGAATCATGTTTCTGTGATATTCTTGGGGGGGACACCTAGCTTCACCAAAAAAATTAGTTTCTTTTTAGCTAGGCAAACTATTGACAAACTTTGGTTGCTAATCCACAAGACTCACATTAACATACAGCATGTGAAATGCATTTTCCCTTGGGCAAGGAGAGGAGACTCTATTGCACATGTCATCTGTTTCTGTGAATACTGAAGATTACAATTATGTTTTGATGTTAATCCAACTACTGCAAATTTCTTGTTGTGAAGCACACTGTGAAAATGTGAGTGACAGTATAAATCTTTTTAAATTGAATTCAACACTATTGAAAAGAGCTGATGTTTTCAAATACTGTTACAAAGCTTTTGTACAACAAGAACTCTCTAAATGAAGCCGCTCCATAGAGTGACCTATTTGTAAGAAAGACAAGTAGGATTAAATTAAATTTTGCCTGTCTGCAGCATTGTATGTATGTGCATGTTTCTGTATCTGTGTGCCTGTGTGCTTTGCATTTTTAGAAAGAATTACCTTTAGTGCTTTGATGTCCTCATAAGCAAACTGCACAGTGGGGACTCCAAGATGGTTGATGAAATAATCAGCATCACCTTGTATCTGCACAGAACTGACATTGGTTTCTCTGCACTGAGTTCTTCTGGAACAGTTGAAGTTATTTTTCTGAAAAATATAATGTAAATTGTTAGTATATACTATGTTTCTTTGGCCATCCCTAAATCAGTGCTACTCAGGATATGGTACATAGTTCAGTAGCATACAGTGTTACCCAGGAATTTCTTTAAAATACAAATTCTTATCCTCTATTCTTAGCCTCCTGAATGTCAAGAACCTTTGGGAATGGAATATAGGAATCTGTGTTGTAACACTCCTCTGTGATTCTGATGCTCACAGAAGTGTAACTAACACTTCTAAATCAAGCTTTGCTTGCTATTATTGCTTAAAAAAATAAAAAGACAAAACTGTTATCATAGACTTAATTGAACACTAATGACTTTTTAATTTGAAATATTTAAAACAAATGTTGAGTACCTAACAAGTTGTTTTTAATATTTCCTAGAAATATGGAAGATGGTTTGGTAGAATTATAAATTCCATTTTTCTTAAAATGCTTTTTAAAAACCACAGAATAAATGTTTTCCATTTCTTCTTAAAAGTATATCTCCCAGTGTCTTAATAGTGTATGGCAACTAATATGGTGACAGAACTCCATGAAGCTAAGTGCCACCTCTGGGGAAACAGAAGATGCTAAAGTATTATTTCTTAAACTATAAACTGTCTAGCATGCCCAAAAAAGAAAAATAAAAGTAGTTTACAAAATTAAAACAAAACATAATTTAACAAATAAAAAATAAGTAAGCTAATAGTTTTTGTAGTTAATATTGATTTTATTTTATTTTTTAAAGATTTATTATTTATACAAGAACTGGGGTACAGGTCAGATGCACGGGAGGGTGAGAGGATTCACCTGAGACAGAGCGAGGGAGCAGTACAGGCAGACTGACGAAAGACACTGCTGAGGGGAGCAGTGAGCAAGACAGGGAGGTCTGCCGCACCATGTGGGACATTTGCCAGCCGCCGGGATCGAACCGGCATTGCAGAGACTGCAGACAGCTTCACAGTGTGGCGCTCAACCACCTGCGCCACCAGGGGAGGCCCTTAATATTGATTTTAAATGCCATCTTTAATAAAATTTCCAAACATCTAGATGATCTGAGAGGTTACTGTGTCAAGGATGAAATGTGAAGACCAGTCTCCTTAGCAGTAATGGTGAGAAAGTGAGATAGTGTTACAAAGACATCACATGGCACACCAGGCAGAAAGGATGTACCCAGTATATGTTTGCCAATGAATCAGGACATTGATTCTTCAGCCCTCTCATAATTCTTCGGCATGATAGAATACAAAAATATAAGCTAGCAAAAGTTTAGAGATATGTACTTTAATATTCAGAAAGTGAGGTAATGCAACTTTTTTCAACTATAGTGCCAGATTTTTCAACACAAAATGTTTTAGTACCTATCCAGTTTAATTTTCGGACCTGATAGAAAGAGCTTTGCAACAAAATCAGTTAAAATAGGAGGTCTATGTATTTCTAAAGAAAGCATGAATTAGGTTTAATGCAATTTACAAATACCTAGGATAACTAAGCCCTTTGGAAATAGAAAGTTAAAAGGTCATTTTACCATACAGTCTAATCAGTAACAATCTATGTTTTTTATGATGGCCTCTACCAGTTTACTTCTTTTGAAAGTCTAATTTTCTGAAAAGAGAGTTAATCCCTTCCATTCCTTCATATACTCCTGGGTAAAGACTTGTGGTGGTTTTATATCAACCCTGGACAGTTTAGGGAGAGTTTTGATTATTTTCCCAAAAGAGATACCCTTAAGTACTAGATCATGAAAAGCAAATAAACAATTTCATATCATGTAAAAAATCCCAATTATTTATGAGAGATCCATATATTGAAACCTGACAACTTTGAAGGTATTTGTTCAGTCAAGATATATTTTTCTGGGGCTCCCCGATGGCGCAGCGGTTAAGCACTGGGTTGTGAAGCTGCCCGCAGCCTCTGCAGCGCGGATTCAATCCCCGGCAGCCAGGCAAGAGTCCCACATGGCACGCAGACCTCTCCTGCCGCCAGCTGCTCCCCTCAGCAGTGTACTTCGTCAGTCTGCCTGTTCTACTCCCCGTTCTGGCTCTAGTGAATTCTCTCATCCTCCAACAATACTGACTGTACCCAGTGCTTGTATAAATATTTTTTTTAAAGATTTATTTATTTATTTATTTGTTTATTTATTTATTTATTTATTTATTTATTTATTTATTTATTTATACAAGCACTGGGTACAGTCAGAAGCGTGGGAGGGTGAGAGAATTCGCCAGAGAGGGGAGCAGAGCAGGCAGAAGGACCAAAGTACACTGCTGAGGGAAGCAGCGGGCAGCAGGAGAGGTCTGCGCGCCATGTGGGACCCTCGCCCGGTGGCCGGGGAGCAGCCGGGGATCGAACTGGTGCTGCAGAGGCTGCGGGCAGCTTGGCAACCCAGCGCTCAACCGCTGCACCACTGAGGAGGCCCTATAAATAAATAAATCTTAAAAAAAAAAAAAGATATATCTTTCTGTCCAATTGAAGGTGATGCCTTGCACAGGGAGGACATTCACCAGTGTCCTGTCACTAATGTCATACACTCAACAAGCTTCCCTCATTCAAATTTATTCATTGATGACCAGAAGCATTTGAATTTGTGAAACTTAGATAGTTGCAGTATTTTATATTATTAATGATAATTATGTTACTAATTACTAGGTAGAATCCAGTATTTCCTTTCTCTAGAAGCCTAGCCCTTGAAATTAAAAATCATTTGTTAAGTGTCCAGTGCCTTCCCTTCACAGCAGCGACATCTGTGTCTCTTTGAGATAGTATGTGCATGCTACTCCTTATCAATGAAATATAGACTTAGTATTAATATCATTTTGCATATATAATTCTCAATATCCACTCCAAATATCACCATGATCCCTAGATACAAACATTTTTCTCAACATTAGAATGGCATGAATCAAAAATTGGCATTTCTTATATAAAAATTTTTAAAAAGTCTTTATAAAAAAAGTACAGCGTGTAAAAACACTAAGCCTTCAACTTTTAACAAACTATAAAATGAACAAAAGAAAAATCTATACATGTGGATGGAATAAAGATAAAAGGTAAAATGAAAAAAAAATGGCATTTCTAAATTGTATAAAATGTGCCTATGAAAGAATTAAATTTTTAAATTAAAATTTTTAAAAAATATGTGTGGTACCTCAATATATTTGATATTGCTTTGTTTCTTCAGCCAGTATTGCTTTATAATGCTTTTCTTCTGACAAAGAGCAATACTTCCCATAGTAGTTGGTTCCTAAGATGCACAAATGATCCCATTCCAATTAATTCTTGCATTCTTTGTTCTAACAGCCATATAAAGCAGTTTTTGTTTTGCCTCAACCTTTTCTTGCATAGGACATTTTTTTTTTTCCAAAGCCAATACAGAGTCTCTTTTAGACTCTCTGTTCTTATTATGGTTACTATCATTATATAGTTTTGTTATTTTTTTTAAAGATTTATTTGTCTGTTTGTTTATTTATTTATACATACATACAAGCACTGGGTACAGTCAGAAGCACAGGAGGGTGAGAGAATTCACCAGAGCCAGAGCGGGGAGCAGAGCAGGCAGAAGGACCGAAGTACACTGCTGAGGGGAGCAGTGGGCGGCAGGAGGGGTCTGCGCGCCATGTGGGACCCTCCCTGGTGGCCGGGGAGCAGCCGAGGATCGAACCAGCGTTGCAGAGGCCGCGGGCAGCTTCGCAACCCAGCGCTCAACCGCTGCGCCACCGGGGAGGCCCTATATAGTTTTAATATTTTCATTGCATTCCATTTCTATGATTCCTTTTATGTAGTTACACCCTTACATATATACTTGGTAATTTTCAGAAATTAAAAGGGCAATATTGACTCTTTAGATTTCCATTTTCTAATATACTTCTGCTTTCTTTTCCCTGCTGTGGCTTGCTTTACTTTACTAATTTATTGAAAAGTCTACCACTTCCTTATAGGTTTGTAATGGACATATGACATATATAAACTCCTTCTGTAAGATCTATTCCTTACCAACCGAGCCCAGGGTTTACCTGCAAAGTTCAGCAAGGGACTTAACTCACAATGCATGGTTCTATCTCTTCTCTCCTCCACCTCCTAACTCCTACCCCCTATTCTCTCTCTCTCTCTCTCTCTCTCTCTCTCTCTCTCTCTCTTTCATCTCAACTGCCTAGTATGCTGATTTAATCAGTGAGGAGAGGAGAAAGCAGAAAGCACATTACCCTCAGCCTTTGCTTATTTTGTTCTTAATTTGTTCTTTTGTGTTTTTGTTCCCAACTAGTTTCATAATAAAACAATTGGGATTAAAAAAAAAAAAAAACACAGTTTGGAGATTGGACTTCTTCCCCAAGTCATCTAGGAATTTCTCATAAAAGAAGAACATTCCCAGCACAGAAACCCTATTCTCTAAATCATTTTATTATTCATTACTTTAAAATCTCGATCAAATTTACAGATCTTAGTGAACCTAAATCTATATTTTATCTTAATGTAAATTGTTTTCTTATACAGCATTTCAGTGGTTTTTAAGAGATCTGTGTCAGGTACTAGATACTGATCTATTATACCCCTGTAAACACTAATATCTAGGAAGGAAGTAGAGAGAAATGTTAATTTACTTCATTTTACTAGAAGTTTACATCCCATGGGGAAAAGGAAATTGGTAACAAATTTGTTAGATCAATTAATTTTTAAATCTATTTACAAGTCTGAACAAATTTAAACTAAGTATTTTATCCAAGGAGTTCAAAATGTTCCATACTTAATGTTTGATAACAAATATTTTTTATTTCAGTTCATAAAATAAGCAAGTTCAGGCAAACACCATGTTATGTCACTTTTTTGCTGAAGACCTAAAATGAAATAATCATCTCAATCCTAATGCTGCATGCTCTTGGCAAGCATACTTTTATGCTGGAGGGCAGAACTTTATGTATCAAATGATCATATAAATGAAGTACAAGGAAATTAAGTGTTTGCATTAGTTGAACAACCATACCAAAACACATTGACAAGTTCCTAAAAC